GGGGATCTCAGGAGGCCAGGGGAGCCTCCTGTGGGCTGGGGGGTCTCAGGAGGCCAGGGGAGCCTCCTGTGGGCTGGGGGATCTCAGGAGGCCAGGGGAGCCTCCTGTGGGCTGGGGGGGTCTCAGGAGGCCAGGGGAGCCTCCTGTGGGCTGGGGGGGTCTCAGGAGGCCAGGGGAGCCTCCTGTGGGCTGGGGTCTCAGGAGACAGCCCCTCCCTGAGAGGTGCCCTCAAACCTGCAGAGCATCATCGCTCTGTGTGAGGAGAAGGTGCGGCCTGCATCCTCCTGCCGCCTGTGCCGAAGCCTCTCAGCCACCGGGAGGCGAGTACTCTCCATCGAGTCCTTCGGAGCATTTCAAGGTAAGCATGCGGGGCCCACGTGCACCTGCATCATGTACATGCACATTGCGTGTGTGTGCACAGAGGCGTGAAATACAGAATGCCCAGAGACATCCTGCACACACCCACTCTCAGAGCTTGCACCAAGAGTGCTCAAGGGTGCCTGCACACACCTGTGTTCACACGACACACCCACATGCACCCACCACACTTACAAGGGCACATCCACATACCCAGCAGAGTGTGCCGTGTGCAGCTGTCCTGGGGGTCTTCACACTGTCACACACACAGAGCAACTTCACAAACACTTGTTGCATGATACGCTCCCACACAAATGCATGCTCATCTGTACAGCCACGTGCATGCAGGCCACGTGCACTCGTGTGTGCGCACACACGTGAGCCTCTCCGCGGTGCAGACGCCAGGCCCCGGGCAGTGGGGGCCAGCCGAGCCCAGGAGTGGCTCAGGCTGGGGTTGTCTCCTGAGCGAGCTTCGCTGTGAACAGTTGTATTCTCCCACTCCTCGTGCTCACACACATGCAAAGCTGCTACTGCACAGCTGGGGTTCATGGCGCATCTCAGTCATCCTGAGAGCTTTGAGAAGCGAACCCCCAGAGCCCCCGAGGGCCTGGGAGGGCCTCCCCCAGCATGGCTCCCACAACAGCAGTGTCAAGTTCAGCAGTGCAGCCGGGCGCCGGTGTCTCACACCTGTAATCCCAGCTGTTATCTGAGTTCAAAGCCAGACCGGGCAGGAAAGTCTCCAATAAACCACTCAGAAAACCAGAAGTGGCACTGTGGCTCAAGTGGTAGAGTGCTCGCCTTGAGCTGAAGAGCTGAGGGACAGCGCCCAGGCCCTGAGTTCAAGCCCCAGGACTGGCAGCCCCATGGCTGCAGCCAGATTGCGCTCTCCCTTCAGGGGTTCACTTGTATATCCCTTATAGAAAAATGGAGCTTGGGGACCCGGTCATGGGACAGCCATGCTCACCTCCTGGGAAGCTCTAGGCAGAGGGGGGTGAGACCCTGGTGTGCAGGGGGCCTCATCCGGAAGGGTCTAGGGCCCGGGCTGAGCGGTGGAGTGGGAGTCTGAGAGCATGGGGCTGCAGCTCCTGCCTGCAAGACCTTGCTGGAGGTCTGTGGGGAGGGAAGGGCTGAGGGCAGGGCTGTCGGGAGGGATGCCATTCCAGGCAAGTCCCTGGCAGGGCCCCCCTGTGGGAAGTAACCACATCCAGCTTTGTGCCCAGACATCAACGAGAATGCCTGGAGAGGGAGACCTGCTCCAAGAAGCACGGGCCCCAAGAGGCCCTCTGGAGACTTCAGCACCGACCCAGAGGCCCTGTCCACCCCAGAAAGCCTGCCACAGCCCTCTGCCTCTGGAGATAAAGAAGGGGAGGTGGGCCAGGGCTCCAGACCTTCACCCATGAAGACGCTGCTGTCAGTCCCCATGAAAAATGGTGAGGGCCTTGGAGGGGAAGAGCTGGCCAGCCTTGTCCTGGACGCCAGGTGTCCCCTTGGTGAGCTGGACAGAGACACCCTCAAGCGGAGCCCCCTGCGGAAAGTGCAGACCTTCCCCAGGCTGCTGATGGATGGCCCCGAGGCCAGCACCCTCTGCCTGTCACTTGCCAGCTCCAAGAAGCAGCTGACCATAGCCGAAGTCTTTCCTCCGGACCCTAGGAAGGGCTTTCTGGAGGGGAAAAACGGCCTCTCTAGCTTCAAGACACAGCCCAAAAGCAGGCTGTGGCTTGAGCAGGAACCCAAACTCGAGCTGGAATGGGCGTCCAGACCTGGCTGCCACATAGACGAAGAACTAGAGGTTTCATCCCCTGGCCAGAGGCCTGTGGAGATTGACAAAGCCCTGCTCTGCTCTGTGGACCATGGAGATGCAGGCCCCGACACACCAGCCTCTGGAGGTGAAGGAACTCCAGAAGAGACCAGCCCACAAACAAGTGCAACAGCCCCTGAGCTGGTGGGTGGCAGGGCCTTCTTGAGGCTGGGAGGCAGGGCAGGGCCGCCTGGTGACGCTGGGCTCCCTGTGTGTGCAGTGTGTGCAGCGTGTGCAGAGGCGTGTGCTCAGTGTGTAGCGTGTGCAGGGGCACGTGCTCAGCGTGCAGTGTGTGCAGCATGTGCAGGGGCATGTGCTCAGCGTGCAGCGTGTGCAGCGTGTGCAGGGGCGTGTGCTCAGTGTGCAGCGTGTGCAGGGGCACGTGCTCAGCGTGCAGCGTGTGCAGCATGTGCAGGGGTGTGTGCTCAGCGTGCAGCGTGTGCAGGGGTGCATGCTCAGTGTGCAGCGTGTGCAGTGTGTGCAGGGGTGCGTGCTCAGCGTGCAGCGTGTGCAGTGGTGCATGCTCAGCGTGCAGCATATGCAGCGTGTGCAGGGGTGCGTGCTCAGCGTGCAGCGTGTGCAGTGGTATGTGCTCAGAGTGCAGCATATGCAGCGTGTGCAGGGGCGTGTGCTCAGCCTGCAGTGTTGCAGCGTGTGCAGGGGCGCGTGCTCAGTGTGCAGTGTGTGCAGCATGTGCAGGGGCATGTGCTCAGTGTGCAGCATGTGCAAGGGTGCGTGATCAGCGTGCAGCGTGTGCAGGGGCGTGTGTGTGCAGCGTGTGCAGGGGCGCGTGCTCAGCATGCAGCGTGTGCAGGGGTGCATGCTCAGCGTGCAGTGTGTGCAGCGTTGCAGGGGCACGTGCTCAGCATGCAGCGTGTGCAGGGCACGTGTGTACAGTGTGCAGCGTGTGCAGCGTGTGCAGGGGCACGTGCTCAGCGTGCAGTGTGTGCAGGGGCGTGTGTGTGCAGTGTGCAGTGTGTGCAGCATTGCAGGGGTGCATGCTCAGCATGCAGCGTGTGCGGGGCATGTGCTCAGCGTGCAGCATGTGCAGAGGCACGTGTGTGCAGTGTGCAGCACGTGCAGGGGTGCATGCTCAGCGTGCAGCATGTGCAGCGTGTGCAGGGGTGCGTGCTCAGCGTGCAGCGTGTGCAGCGTGTGCAGGGGTGCGTGCTCAGCGTGCAGTGTGTGCAGGGGTGCATGCTCAGTGTGCAGTGTGTGCAGCTTGTGCAGGGGTGCGTGCTCAGTGTGCAGCGTGTGCAGGGGCGTGTGTGTGCAGTGTGCAGCGTGTGCAGGGGTGCATGCTCAGTGTGCACCGTGTGCAGGGGCGCGTGTGTGCAGTGTGCAGCATGTGTGGGGCATGTGCTCAGCGTGCAGCGTGTGCAGGGGCGCGTGCTCAGCATTGACTCTCATTTGATAATTACTGGGGGGGGGCGGTAATTTATTGTCATTATAGAGGTGATACACGGAGGGTTGCGGGTTCTTCCTTTTGAACTGTCTCCTCCTCCCTCACTCTCTCCCCGTCCTTCCCGCCCATCTCCACCCACAAGTTGTATATGTAGGTCACCTTCATCAATGTCCAGTGAGCTCCACTGCTGCAAGCTTTCACCCTTTTCCCTCGAATTCTGTACCCTCCCCTGAAGATGTACACTTGAATGCACCAGATACACGGTAAAGAAGACAGAAACTAGAAACCAAAAAACTAAAAGAAAAAGGGAAAAAGAAAAAATCAAGAAGGCTTGTTTCCATATCTTGGAGTTTGTATGCATATTATATTTTGTAAATGTGAGGAGAAACTTAGCTTGGTGCCTGTGTGTCTCTCCTGAGAGCATCCTCTGTTGGATCCTCTGTGTGAGCATCTAGAATCCTGAATAATTTGTCATATCCCAGTGCATTTTAGATATAACTTCCACATGCCAGAAAGAACGTGTGCTGTTTGTGTCTCTGCGCTTGGCTTACCTCACTTAACATGATTTGTTCTAGTTCTATCCATTTTCCTGCAAATGGCATTATGTTATCTATCTAATGGCTGTGTAAAATTCTGAGTATAGGTACTACATTTTTGGATCCACTCATCTATTGTGGGGCATCTGGGGTGTTTCTGTATCCTGGCTATTGTGAATAGTGCAGCAGTGAACATGGAGGTGCAGGTGTCCTTGTTATCTCCTGACTACTGATGGTCAAGGTAGATGCCCAGGAGTGCTATGGCTGGGTTGTAGGGAAGGTCTATGTTTTGTTTTTGGGGAACCTCCAGCCCCTTGTCCAAAGTGGTTGTGCTAGGTTACGTTACCAACAGTGCCGTAGGGTTCCTTTCCCCCACATCCCCACTGGCATTTGTTGCTTGAATTCACAATGCTGACCGATCCAGCTGGGGTGAGATGGAATCTCAGAGTTGTTTTGGATTGCATTTCCCTTATGGCCAGGGACGATGAGCATTTCCTCATGTGTTTCTTTGCCATTCTCACCTCTTCTTCTGGGAAGTCTCTCCTTAGCTCCCCAGCCCACTTAGTGATCGGTTTCTTAGCTTTGGGAGGGGTTAGTCTCTTGAGCTCCTTGTATATTTGGATATTAGGACTTTGGTGTACTGCGGGTAAAGATCTTTTTTCCCAGTTGTTTGGCTGGCTGTCTTTCTAGTTTGGTAACTATATCCTTTGCTGTGCAGAAACTCTTTATTTTGATTTAGTCCCACTTGTCAAGTCTCTCTCCTGTCTGTTGTACCCCTGGGACTCTATTCAGGAAGTTTCCGCCAATACACATAGGTCCTAATGTTCTCCTACTCTCTCATGCAGAAGTTTCAAAGTTTTGGATCTGAGGTTGTGGTCTTAGATTCACTTTGAGTGGATGTTAGGAGTGGTGACAAGCAGGGATCCACTTTGAGTTTTCTGCATGTGGCTGCCCACTTTTCCCAACACTAATTGTGAAGAGGCTATGTTTTTTCCACTGTAGGTCTTTGGCTCTTCTACCAAATGTCAGATAACTGTAAGTGTATTATTTTATTTCTGGGTCTTCTCATCTTCTTCATCGAGCTTCAGGTCTGTTGTTGTTATTGTTGTTATGGCTCTGAAGTAGAGTTTGAAGTCTGGCATTGTGATACCACCCACATTGCTTTTTTTTTACCTAGAATTGATTTGACTATTCTAAGTCTTTTGTTGTTCCATATGAACTTTTGTATTGGTTTTTCTCTCTCAGTAAAGAATGCCATTGGGATTTTGATGGGGATGCATTGAGCTTTGCATCTGTATTCATCAGACAGATTGGTCTGTAGTTCTCTTGATTTGTTGGATCCTTACTGGTTTGGGTATGAATGTGTACTGGCTTCATAGATTTGAGTTTGGGGTTGCACCCTCTGCTTCTATCTCACAGAAAAGCTTGAGGATTATTGGTATTAGTTCATCTTTATATGTCTTATAAAGGGACTGGGAATGTGGCTCAGTGGTAGAGTGCTTGCCTAGCACACATGAAGCCCTGGGTTCAATTCCTAGGTACTACATAAACAGAAAGAGCTGGAAGTGGTGCTGTGGCTCAAGTGGTAGAGTGCTAGCCTTGAGCAAAAGAAGCTCAGGGACAGCCCCCAGGTCCAGAGTTCAAACCCCAGGTCTGGCCAAAAAAAAAAAAAGTCATATAAAATTCATCAGTGAATCCATCTGCGTCTGGCTTTTCCTTGTTGGAAGATTTCTGATTACCTCCTCGATCTCGTTGCTTGTTATTGGCTTGGTTACTGGCTTATGTCTTCTTGGTTCAGTCTAGGCAGTTTGTGTGTTTCTAGAAATTCATCCCTTTCTGCTAAGTTTTCCTTCTTCTGTGAGTATAGGCTTTGAAAGTACTCTTTTAAAACTGTAGGTTTCTTGGTGTTTGTTGGAACGCTGCCTGCGGCATCTCTGATTTTATTGACTTGAAACTCATCTCTTCTTCTGCCAGTCTCACTAGTGTTTGTCAACACCTTTCCCTGTTTTTTAAAGAAGCTATGAATAAGCTTGAGGGAGCTGACTGCCACCCAGGAGTGACCCCCAGGCCGCAGCCCCTGTGTGCCTCTGTGGAGCTAGAGTCCAGCTCTGGGCGCAAGTACAACCATGGTTTTCGTGGCAGCTGCCTCTCTTTGCCTGCAGCACAGTGCTCTGTCCTTACCCCTGCTTGTTTTGACTTCAGGATTTTCTGGTCCCTTGTACTGGAGTGCTGGGGGAGGGGTCCTTTCCTCTGTCAGGTAGAGGTGTTCTCAGTGAGTTTTCTCTTCCTCCCACAGAGCCTGTCCCTGAAGGGCCTCCTCTCTAAGCTGGGCCGGCCCCTCCGGGAGTGTGAGCTGTGGGCCTTGTGCCTGTCCTGCCTGCGCACACTACAGGGACATGCAGGACACCCAGGTGACGCCAGGCTGGGGCCGGCTCGGGCAGGCCACGGGGCGGAGGGGAGGCTGGGGCCGGCTCGGGCAGGCCACGGGGCGGAGGGGAGGCTGGGGCCGGCTCAGAGCACAGGGCCACGGGGCAGAGGAGAGGCTGGGGCCGGCTCAGAGCGCAGGGCCACGGGCAGAGGGGAGGAAGGCTCCGGCTCAGGCAGGGCCACGGGCGGAGGGGAGGCTGGGGCCGGCTCGGACAGGCCACAGGGCAGAGGGGAGGCTGGGGCCGGCTCAGGCAGGCCACGGGGCGGAGGGGAGGCTGGGGCCGGCTCAGGCAGG